AGATGGAGCAGTAGCAGCAGCACAAGAGAAGAAGCGGCTGTTTTTGCCCTAAACCCTAAACTCGAAAAGACGACTCGGATCGCAACAGGGAGTAGACTGAAAAGTGAGCATCTCCGAAATTGTTGATGCCTTTGATGGTCATGGGTCCCTCCAGGAAAGAAGATCATATTCTGAGTCTAGTGTAGCTAAGTAGCTGTCTCTAGTAGGTATGACAAACCCCTATCTCAGGATAGGGTCTATGACCTCTCGTAGCTTTGCAGAAGCTTTCCTTTGAGTCACATGACTGCTTGGACTTCCGCAGCCAGATTGTTCGGAAAGGCGTTGTCCTGAACCCCGAATCGCTATCAAAAAAGCTACACCCTCGAGCAGCGGAGATGGCCGTCTTGAAGGTCACTGGGTTTAGGGTTTAGCAGTCTTTGGGCTTAGGTCGCGGGTCTTCAATGTCAGGGTTCCCTTGCAGGGGTCGTGCTGGGTTTTTTTGGGGTTATATGGGAGGATCTAGGGCTTAGGGATTACAACTTCAGGGTTTGCAACAGTTACAGAGCCGTGTTTGATGTATCAGGAGAACTGCCTCTGCCGTACTCAGAGTGGAGTGTTTCACGTTCCCGCACACCTTATCTACAACAAGTTTTCACTTTGTTCGATCCTTTCCGAAGCGAAGTTCAATGTAGCGTTCCGGGTCAGGCAGTGGCTTGCAGGACTTTAACTTCTTTTGGGTCATGCTCCAACACCCAAGGTCCCCAAACCCCTAAACTCTAAACCTTAACCCTAGCTTGTCCCTTTTCTGTAGTGGGCCGGTGGTGGAGGCCTGCTAGGCCGTCCCTGAGAACTGTAGAGGTATCTTGCCAGGGAGGTATGTTGCTAAACCCTACTTGGAGGTTCAGGGGACTTAGTAACTACTTGGATTTGGGGATATCACTCTGCTTATCAGTGGGATAGCCTAGATAAGTCCAGTCACGGGGATTATAAGTAGGGTTATACGCCCAGTTACCAGTAGTTACTAAGTCCCATGGGCCTCCAAGCAGACCCTAACGCCGGCGAGCTGCAACCTCTAGTGGATAGGAGGCCATGAAGCCAGGGTTTTGGGGTTTAGGATATTTGGTTGATAGGTTCATTCAATTGAGTTCCAAGCTGGACGTGGAAATTCCCAAGAATAGAGACGTAACAAAAGGGCTCTTTTTTTGGAGGTGCAACCTTTGTCATGCCCAGTCATGCCGTGGGTACTGCCCCCACTCAGTAACAGTGGGATAGTCATGATATTATACTTATCCGTACCTCTTCACATGGCCACCTGGTATAGACTCAATAGTACCCGTATTGTAGACTGTTACTGTTACTGAGTCGAAACCTTCAGGCCCTGAGGGTAATCCACACTATGTAGATGCCTGAAGACTTTTCATTGCTATTTCCTTGTCAGCCTTATATGGCCACAGCAGGATGTTCTCCAAAAAAAGGTTCTGATTAGAATAAGGCCCTACATAGAATCCCTAAGCCTAGTTTCCATGTCATGGTCCATTTGGTCTTCCATTTGATTCTCCACCATCCTCAAGCCAGTACCCTATACATGTGCATATATCTTCATAACCCCTTTGGAGGGACGCATTGGTGGTATATAGCCCTAATCCTATTCCAGCAACACAGGGTTTAGCTTTTTGGGGCTCCCCTACATTATCACTTTGGAAAGTTCCCAGCGCTGTGCTCGGCCTTCCTCGCAGCCTTATATTAGCTTATCCTTGAGCTATCTTGCAGTTAAGGGCCCCTCCAGGCAGGCTACCCTCCCCCAACTGATACCCGAAGGGGCCCCAAAAATACTATTGTCCTGTTGAGGGAGGGCTTTGTGGATGACATGTTTCTCTTTGGTGCTCTATTTTGGGTGTAGGCTCTATAAGCCCAAAGCCCTAAACCTAAACCCTACCAAGGTTACTTTCCAAGCGGAGATGCGGCGCTGTCTTCTTTCAAGCAGCTGCCCTAGCTACCAGGAGGGGATTGGGGTTTAGGATGTACGTCCCCAAACCTGGAAAGTTCTCAAACTAGAAGGCCCAGCTGGACTCCAGGGAAGATGAGTGTCATAAATTAGCAACGGATTATAGGTGTCCCTCTTGGGATCATGCAGGGGCTGTTTTGAAACAGTTCCCGCCTTCCACGGTCCTCATAAGCCTACGCTCCAAACTAACATGGAACTCCCACCAGCCGTTTGAAAAGACACAGACGCCAGTAGCCTTTTCGCTGCGCTTTTGGAGGCCACTAAGCACCTTATCGGCGCAATGATGGACTTTGTCAAAGAACTTCCTACACCCTAAACCCTAAACCATTGACTTCCTTCAGGCCCCCAACCTTGCAAACCCCAAATCAACAGCCCAACCCTCCCTAAACCATACACCCGGAACCCTAAACCCTAGACCTACACCCTGAACCCTAAGCCCCTAAGCCCCAAATCCCGGTGCCAATGCCGGAAAGCTGGAGGAGATCACCAGCAGTGTGGCCAGTCTCTTCCCCGAAGCCAAGGACACGCTGAAATTGATGACGATAAGGGTTTGGTTATCAGGGCTTAGGGAAGGGTACTAAACCCAAAGGCCTAGGCCCAGGATCTTGTCCGTCAACACTGCTCGTGGAGGGTTTCATTAAGACTGATACCATCCGGGCTTCCTGTGCGCCAGAAGGTTTAGGGTTTACGGTTTGGGGTCTAGGTTTTAGGGCTTTAGGGTTAGGGTTTAGGGCTTTAGGGTTAGGGTTTTTGGCTTCTGGGTTTCGGGCTTTAGGTTTAGAGTTTCGGGTATCAGCGCGGGCTGAAGAAGGCAAAGAACGTGTCAGTCCTCACGCCTGCCGGCTTTTTTTAGTTCAGACGCCCTTTAAGGCGTTAAGCAGTGTAAACTTTGCGCTGGACCTCCTAAAGCTAATTCTAAACTCAACCTGAACCCTGCAGCCTGGACCTTCAACGCTTCAATGTCTGAAATTAGGGTACCGCGACATAGACCCCAATATACTATACCTGGACCCTGGATGTCCTACCTTTTTAGGTGTATACCCTACAATTTTACGGGACATTGCCCCCAAAAAGGAAGGACACCCAGGGTCCAGGTAGTCCTTCTTATAGGGGCCCCCGAAATGGTACCCCTAATCTTGGGAAACCCCCAGCAATATTCCCCATCAACGCGAGCCAATCCTCCTCCCTGCCTCTGCCTCTCATAGCTTGAAGAGCACTTATCCCTACCTAGACCCTCCAAATGTAGTACCTTTTTAGTAGATCTAACAAGAGTCCTAACCAAGGAAAAAGCATACCAAACCCAAAAAGGAACTACATAGGAGTGTCTTGGTAATTTTCCCTCCCTCCTTTAGGGATTATAATAGGGATCCTAATATCTAGGCCCTTACAAGGAGGGCGGGTTATTAATCATGGGTCTACATTCGGGACTGTACGATGCCAGGTTCCATTTCATTTTGCACTCTCGTTTGCATTTGATTTTTCATTCTGTGGGGTACGGGGCTTCAATGAGCCATAATTTGAAGCAATCTCCTTTAACCAATAGAAAGTACACCCCCGACACTAGTAGTATATAAATGCGGACTGCATACATGAGGTGATGTTTACTTTCGGGGGGTGGTGCGGATGGGGTTACGCTACTTGGGGGGGGTTATAGTACTGGAGGCATCGTTTCCGTGCAATCCGTGCCTCAAACACATCTCGAAATTCTATTCAACAATATCTAAAGCTTGCGAGATCATCCTAAACCCTAAACTCTAAACCCCGAACCCTAAACCCAAATCTACTATGCAAACAAAACCCCTTGGCGGACCGCATGGCCCGACGACCTTGTCCCCAAATCATCCCGAAACTCTAAGCACTTCCGAGGCCAAGACTCGATCCTAAGAGGGTTTAGGGTTTAGGGTTTAGGGTGCCAATATTATATTGGGTTATATAGGGGTTATATAGGGTTACATAGGGTTTATATTGGGATAGTGGAAAAGGAAATGGAAACTACTATAGTATATTGGGTTTAGAGCCTACACCCCTGAAGGATTTGAAGGAAGCCCTCAGCCCAAGCCCCAAAAAAGAAAAGGCCCAAACGCAAGCCCGAAACCCTATAACTCCAAGCGAAAAAGCTCTACACACAAAGCTTCCGCCCTAAACCCTAAGCACTATAGACCCCAAGCCCTAAGCCCTCTACCCGAAGCCACACCTGTGTTTTTTCCCGGGGTTGCTGTTGAGGAACTTAATTCAAGTTACTATATTAGGGAAACCCTCGTATTATATACTACATATACCCATTATGGTAATTTACCTAAATCCTAAACCCTATACACCTATTATGGTAACTTAATTTCAGTTCCTTGACAGCAACCCAGTACCCTGGCAATCCCTCTAAAGCCCTACAGACTCCCAGTTTCCATGTCATTTTCCATCTTCTTTTCCATGTGATTCTCCATTATTAGGGGTACGGTAGTATAGTATCCCCACATAACATCCTAAACCCTAAATTCCTAAACCCTAAATCCCCAAACCTAAATCCCAGTTTCAGAGGACTACACGGCCCGGTACCTGGATGAGGAGGGTGATGCTTGCACGCTCTGCGAGGCTTCCTTGGGCGACTTCCTGGCCCAGGCTCCCGGGCTGCAGTTTATGTGTATATGCACATATATGGGTGGTTGTCAAAATTATGGTCCCTTTTAGGGGTCCTTATTATAATACGGCCCCTAACATTTAGGGTACCCAAAAAGGGACCATAATTTTGACAACCACCCATATGTACACATACATGCATATACCCACATACATATGTATAGACATGTATATGAAAATTCGATGGGGACTACACAGGCTTATGGGGTTCCTAGGCTTCAGGCTTAAGGGGTTGAAGTTTCACGCTCCCCACCTAATAATGTATTGGCCCTATATTGCTCCCCCATCCCCTCCCTAAACCCTACACCCTAAACACCCTGAACCCTAACCCTCCGACCCTAAACCCTAAACTCGCTCCCCCTCCCGGCAGGCCAGGGCCAAGGGAGTCGACATGGCCAGCAGCACAGGGAAGATGGTGCTCCGCCTGGAGCTGGTAAATCTTGCCGCTGGGCCTACTTTTATTTGATTTGGTTAAGGGTTTAGGGTTTGTGGTTTGCATGAAAGGAATCTATAGGATTTTGCGCTAGAGGGTTACAGGATTTAGGGCTAGAGGGTCCCAGAGGGGTAAGGTTATGTGGGGGCTGGATCCATGTAGCCTTTCTTTTTTTTTTTTTTTTTTT